ATGTGCATTCCGCTCCACTAGGGAGCTGCTGTCGGACAGGGAGGAGAGGTCACCAGCACAGAGGGAGCCCGGCGCTGGATAAAGGTAAGCTGCTGAAGGGGTTTTAACCCCTTCAGCACTACAGGAGGGGGACCCTGAGGGTGGGGGCACCCTCAGGGTACTATAGTGTCAGCAAAACCACTTTGTGGTCCTGACACTATAGTGATCCTTTAAGTTGAGAAAGCACTGGGACATCCTGGCACCAAAACAACTTAATGTCAATGAAGTTATGGTGCCTAAACTGTTCTTTTAATGTTTTGTTTCAGTTTATGCAGCCCTAGCCAAACCTCACCAGGCTATGAGCCAAAATTTACTCTTCAATCAGATGTTAACTTGTTTTAGAAGTTCTTGTCTCGTGCTCTGTTAGCTGAACTCTAACATCACGCACTGGAGGCCCCCGCAAGCTCTATCAAGCTATTAACATTAAGCAGGAGATACGGAAAGTGTGCAAGAGGCTGTGAGATGGTGCCGTCACTGGATTAATACAGCCGGCCCCAATCGCTAACAGGTGTTGGGAAGTTTAAAAACTTTTTTTTTTTTTTTTTTTTAAAGAAACGCTGTGCAAGTCACATGCAGGTAAGAGTTACTAGGGCTGTATAAACTGTGATTTAACACCTAAATGGCAGAGAATGGAGCAGTGATACGGCACGATCTATACACCCAAACTGCTTCGTTAAGGTTTTGGTGATTATAGCGTCTCGTTAACGGTTTATTCTGCCTTTAGCCAATAACCCAGAGTGCTTTCTCTGAGCTGACTGACAGATCTTATAAACAATGGCTGACAGGGAACCAAGATGGAGGCACCCAGGGGCAGAGGATAACCAGGTGGGTGGAGCTCAGCTTTATTGGTCATAACATAAGATACCTATTTGTCAAATAAAAATGATAAGTAAACACATACATACTATTTTAATTTATAAAAAAATAAAAAAAATAAAAGTTTTACAAATTTAAACTTGTAATGCAAATTAAATTGCTGACCCTGCAGGAACTCCCCTTGCAGGAGAAAACTAATTTTTTTTTTTTATTTTATTTTTTTTTTTTAAATACAAAGTTGACAGAGCCTTGACACAACAAGCACTAACCGGCGCTGACTGGGTACCAACCGCTCACCTCACACAGACAGACCAGCCGTTTGGCGCGCTTCCGAGTGGCGCGTGCGCACACCGCGCGCCTGGCCGTTATAAACTCCTTCCAGCCCCAGTCGTTGGCCCCGCCCACCTGGGCGTGCGCGAGACATTAAGGATGGCACCCGCTAGAACCTTTTTTTTTCTTTTCTTTTCTTCTTTTACTCCATGCGCGGCCTACATTTACCATGATCCTTAGCGAAAAATAAAGGAAATATCAAAACTCAAGGATTATGCTCATTCATCAATAGACAGCGCTCGTTTGTTTTTTTGGTTGTTTTTATTTGCGCCTAAATGAGAAATTGTACTGGTGTCAATAAAGTTGTATTGCTGTCGGTGCTAGGCGACGGGGGTACCAGGGCGGCCATGTTTGTTTAGGGCAGCGCAAATCCCGATCCTGGATAGATATTTAAGATTGCATCCACAGTACAGCACAGTATACGGTTTTTTGTTACGGTCAGAGAAAGGCGCCAGCTGAAGTTAGCGGCAGTGTGAGGGTTTTGGAGCAATCACTGCCCTCAACCAAGATGGCGTCCGGCGCTCGCGCGGCCTGGCGGCGCAGGAAGTGACGCTGGGCACGCGGTGTGTCGGAGAATGGAGTCAGCGGAATATGAAGAGTGGATGCTGGGTTCTATCAGGCTGTGAGTGTTCCTTGGGATCCCGCCCCAGCAGTGCACACGGAGGTAGAGAGCATCCCCAGGGGGGCTGAGCATGCTGGGAGTTGTAGTTCCCAGCCAGTTTATTGTTCTCAGTTTGAAATAACCAGCTGGGCTAATTCTGTCATTAAATTCAGATGGAATGCCTTGCAATTCTCACTTTAGTGAATAACCCTGATTTACCTCTTTATTGAGGGTTCAATAAGCAGCAAATGGCAAAATGAAGGTGGTTATGGTCATGGGCTGGCCATTACAGTCTGAATCAGGGCCATGGTGAGGAGGGGGGGCTACAGCCCAATGTGGGGCCCTGTAGCCATGACAGGCGGCATGCTGTGCCCCCCAACCGGGGATCGGACATGTCCAGGAGCAATGCAGTGATAGAGATACGGCGAATGTGGGACGCCATCTTATTCGCTGCGTTTCTCTATTACTGCGCTGCTGCTGGGCCGGAGCGGCCGTACAAAGGGCCTGAGGAACTGGGCCGGTAGAAAGCTGCCTGCTCTCCCTACAGGAGGCTAGCGGCCGCCGTCCCTGAAACCGATACCAGACCTACCGTCCCCTTACCCCCTGCACGAAAATGGCCTCCAACGGAGCCCATATCCTTCTAAAATCTTATACAAGTGTGCCTTTGTGTGTCTGGATGCGCCTGTGGGCTTATATCTATGGGTGTGTGTCAAGGGGCGTGATAAAGGGTGCTGTTTTGGGGAGGGGCCATTAGGAAAGCATTACCAAATTATATTTGGGCTACAGCCTCTGGGCTTTTTGATCCCAGCTACACTCCTGGTTTCAATTATAAAATTTTATTTATTTTCCCTTTGGGTTTATTTGCTTTACACTGAATTGAGTAAACTGACAGTTAATTGTTTTCTGACTGAGTAAATTATGCTTTTGCAGCATGTAATGTCGTGAAAAACGCAGAGGATTACCTCTCCTTCCTTACTGGCGCATGCACACAAAGACAATCCTTCCTTCATTTCATATGTGCACATGCATTTAGTACACCAGGAGTTACACTAGTTTGCAGGGAGTGTTAACTAGAAAATGAGATCTGGTGAGAACAATAAATATATATATTTATTATTAATTTTTTTAAATAATACAAAAATAATTAGCTGTTTGTATGTGTAAACATTCTGTAAGTGACCGTTCCTCTGTAAGCCAAACTATAGATTAAACAATAGATGAGAATTTTTCCAAATCAGTTGCAAAGTGAATTTCAAATTAAAGACCAAAGTAGCCGAAGCTGGAAGCATAGCTGACTTGGAGAATGTTTGCAGCTCAGCAATATTGACTTTAACCCCTTAAGGACGGCGGGCGGCTCTAAACACCGGCGGGCGGCATAGCACGTCCACTTACCTGCCCGTCGGCGATCACGATTGGGGGACTTACCTGGCATCCCAGGGAGCCCCCTTGCTGCCGATCTGGCCCTCTTGGGCCATGTGATCGCGAGGAACTCACGATCACATGGACAGAGTAGCCTGTCCCCTTAGCCATGCCCCTTTACTCAGTCTCAGCCCCAACAGCAGTCCGTGAGCTGCTTTTAAAGGATCACTATAGGGTCAGGAACACAAGCATGTATTCCTAACCCTATAGTGAAAACCCACCATTTAGGTGGCTTGCACCCTTCACCTCTTAGCTCCCTCAGAATGGGTTAAAACTCACCTTATTTTCAGCTCTCCACGGGTCTTCTGGTGCTGCCTCTCCCCCTTTGTGACATCATCAAAAGTGCTGATTTTTAGCCAATTCAATGGTTTCCCACGGGGAAAGCATTGGATTGGCTAAAATCGGCAAGGGGGCAGGGCGAATCAGCGCCTCCTCATAAAGATGCATTGAACCAATGCATGTCTATGAGGAAAATTCAGCGTCTCCATGCAGAGCGTGGGGACGCTGAACGGCAGTGCTGCTTACTGTGCAGCCCTGATCCAGGAAGCACCTCCAGTTGCCATCTGAGGAGTGGCCACTTGGAGGTGTCCCTAGGGGCAATGTAAACACTGCCTTTTCTTTGAAAAGGCAGTGTTTTCATTAAAATGCCTGAAGGCAATGATTATACTCACCAGAACAACTTCATTAAGCGGTAGTTGTTCTGGTAACTATAGTGTCCCTTTAATTATATTGCGTAAAGGCTCACCCTGGATTGACAATTTGTTGCAATTGCACAATTTCCATATCAACATAAACCACACTCTGCCATTTACACTAAATTCTCTGGTCTAGTTACAAATAAAATTATAAAATAATTCCTCAACGTCAGTGGAAGAAAAGTCTATGTGTCACCCAAAATGGAGGAGAACATCATATGTCAAATGCCGTCTGCAAACCTTATTATTATTATTATTATTATTATTATTAAACATATCCCCATACTAAATTGTTTGATAACACAGAAAATAGCTAGCAAATGCTCGAATGACCACTAAAAGCACCCACTGAATCTCATTGAAGTGGCCTGGATGCAGTGGTCATTTAGTTTTAATCCTGCAATGTAACGCACTGCCTTTTAGTGGTCACAGCAATGCTTACATTGCAGGGTTAAATATGCTTCTAGTGGCTGTCTTCCAAACAGCCACTGAAAGCACTTCTCCAGTGATTACAAAGTCATCCATTTCGTTCCTATTGCTCCTCTGAGAAGCGTTGGATTGGATGGTTAGAAGGGTCGGAGTGATGTCACGGGAGGCCGTTCAAGCGGCTGTAGTGACTCTTGGCATTTCGAAAATGGTAAATAATATACCTTATTCTAGTTTTTATTTAGATTTGGGGGAAAGTAAAGAGAACACTAAAGCATTAGGAATTCAGGTTTGTAACGCTATAATGTTAATTTAAGCATTAAACTGGAGTATATATGTACATATATAAATATATATCTGTCCATCAAGAATGTGGCCATGTAAGAATTGAAGAGAGAACCTCAAAAACAGGAAATGCCATTCTGGTTCTCTGATTGACAAGGCACAGCTACAGCATCCACTTTCAAGACCTTAGTCGTCAATTTGACAAATTATTCTAACAATAAGTTGAAGGGCAGTAACCTGGCACCATAACCACATCAATAAACAAATGTGTTTTTGTTGCTTAGCATGCTCCATTAATAGTGTAAAGATAAATGCCATTGTAAGCATTTACAGAACAGAGGGGGGGAAAGGACATTAATCAAATAATCACTAATGCTATTTCCTTTCAGATATAAAGACCTACATGACTTTGAACTGCAGGATCCCACAAGAGTTCTTGAGTGGATTGGTGACAAAAGTAAGCAAATAGCTTTTTTTATTCCTGCATTTTCAATGTAGTATCTGAGAGTCTGGTGTAATTGTAAGCATTTTTCCACAGCTATCTGCATAGCCGGTTTTGAATCTGCCAAAACGAATGAGATTTTACAGCTGCTTCTTCCACCGAAATTACATGCAGTAGAAAATCAGGTCAGTTTGTAACACAGCTCGACTATGCCCATTGTACAACGCTGCGGAATTTGTTGGCGCTAAATAAATAATAATACACAAATGTAACTTAAACTTAGCCTAACTTTATCAGGACTGGGGAAATGTCACTTAAAGGGTTACTTCAAACATCATAGCCACTACAGCCCTCTATAGGAGTACCCCGGCGTCGTTCCCCAGTAATGGAGCAAACCGTTAACTTAGTTGGGTTGGCTGCCGATTTACTGAGGGCACTACAATGGGTCAGATACCACCTGAAATAATTCTGATTCATACTCAAAAACTGCGCATACTGGATCCAAGCACCATGACCACTTCATCACTGGGATCCAAGCATCATGACCACTTCATCACTGAACTGGTCCTCGCGCTTGGAGTAATCCCTTAATGTTCCCAGAGAGTAAAATATCTCCAATATGCAGTGAAATAGAAGTTCAATCTTTTGTCTATAGGTCTCTGCTAGATTTGTTTGCAAGTCACTGACCAGCAGCCAAGCAGACCTTTCCTGCATTTTTGTTCCAGGGTACCTTCACAAAAGGCGTAATTCACCCGGAGGAATAGTAGAAACATGGCTTGATTTCAGCTAGATAGTACACTGAGCTTGGACCCTGGTGAGGGCTCACATGCACCTGGGTTTGTGAGGATCTCACAATAAACTGCTTTATGACCAGTTTACTATTGTATTTCTACATTTCAAAGCACATATTCCATAGTGACGGGTTATTGTGCACTCAGTGTACTGTGTAATGCAAGAGTGCGTCATGTTTCTTTTATACCACAAGCATAGGCAGAATTTAGAACCATAGATGGATACAAACTACACATCCCTGATGCTCCGTTAGTCCAGCCTTCATTGTGCCATAAGTCATCGCTTTAATTAGCTCAGGTTTTTTTTTTTTTTTTTATTGTTTGTGCTGCATAATGTGCATTTTCCCATCAGTTCACCAGGTGGCAGTATTGTTCTGTTCTTTCAGCTAGCGTTGGCCAACGTGGACACTGCTCCACATATTAGGTAGACTGGGAATGATGAAACATTCCTTCAAAGGCATTTAAGCAATGAAAAGGGCAAACCATTGTTTTCTATGTGGGTTTTACTAGAGGGTCCTGTCTACTAAGCTGCACATTGTGTTGTTTCTATTTTTGCTTTCCTCTTAATGCAAGAGAAGCAAGCATCACTGGGCACATCCATTTAAATAAAGAGAACATACGGAAACTGCTTGGCATTAACCTCAAACCTAATACCATACAGTTTAACATTTACCATCTATCCTAATTATAGGGTACAAAGGGTAACCAACAAGTCCGTTTGTTAAAGAGATACTCAAAGCCCCAAAATAACTTCATCTTAATGAAGCATTTTTGGTGTATGCATAATGTCCTTGCAGTCTCAAGTCTCTGCCATAAAGCAGTTAAATCACTTTGTTTCTGTTTATGCAGCCCTAGCCACACCTCCCCTGGCTTTGACTCACACAGCCTACGGGAAAAAAAATTATTTTCAATCAGATATTACAGCACAATGTGTTTACCTCAAAAGTTTGTAGCTCCTGCTCTGTTAATTGAACTTTAATCACGCACAGAAGGCTCCTTCAGGCTCCAGATAAGAATTACCTGAGCAGGAGATAAGATATTCTAAATTGAACCACTCAAAGGGCTACTCAAACCACCATGACCCCTTCTGCTGTGGTGCAAGCAGTCTGTATGTGCAGAGTTTGTTTGAAAGGCTACCTATACAGAGAAATTACTGCATTTGTGTCAGTATATAGACACATCAAGGACACATGACTTGGGCCTTAATTTAATATTGTTTTTTGTTTTTGGATTCAAATTTAAAAGTATTTATTATTGTAAAACATATTTGTATTTTGTAAAATGATGATAGAGATATATATATATGTATGTATGTATATACAAAAAAAACACTTTAAAAAATATTTAGTGTGTTGAAAAGAAAAATCACCAAAAAATTTATCTAAAAATATTAAGTAATTGCGAAAACTTATCCTACAGTATTAAATCTAGCACGGAACTCTGTTCCAGACTGACTAATGTCAGTTCTGTGCATAAAAAGCATCCATCTTTAGCACGCACTGTGTGCCGGCAGGGGATGTAATAAGCTTTCTGCAAGGAGAAATCTGTAGGACTGTAACGCACACAGTACATATCACTTGCTTAATAGATTGTTTTTCCCCTCCCTCAAAACCTCCCCATGTCCAGCCCTCCCAGCCTCTTTACGTTATATTTTATGTCCTCCCCCTTTTACTTCCCATCCCTCCATGCCATCCTCTCTCCACCCCTTCTTCCTCGGCTCAAATTGAGCACAATTCATGCATGCGCTCTGAGCCCGTAACCTGTAAGATCTAATAAGATTTCTCAGGT